ATATACAATAAAATAAAGAGCACCCTCCACCGCCCCCCCCCCCCCCCACACACACACACACACAAACACACTCCTCTCTTCTTACATGCTCTCTAAATTTAGCCAAAAAAAAGAGAAAATAGAATAAAAAACAACCCCCTCCACACACACACACACTCCTCTCTTATTCCTTTCTTTACATGCTCTCTCCTCTTGATCTCAAAATTACATAGAGGGCTATCTCTCTCTAACAAAACCCACCGGTGCCACTCCTCTCTTCTTACATGCTCTGTAAATTTAGCCTAAAAAAAGAGAAAATAGAATAAAAAACAACCCCCCTCCACACACACACACACACTCCTCTCTTATTCCTTTCTTTACATGCTCTCTCCTCTTGATCTCAAAATTACATACAGGGCTATCTCTCTCTAACAAAACCCACCGGTGCCAAGAAGTCTGATGGTGGAAAGGGAAACCCTCTGCCACCCCTCAACCCCTTCTTATATTCATGTCTCCTTCCACTTTCGACCACTCCCTTTATCCCTACCCTCGAACACCCCTTCTTATATTCAAGGGGGGCCACGACCCCCCCCCCCCCCCCGCCATAATAATGCTCCACCTATGATCGTGTTAGCTCCCCTTTTTCCGACGACGACATGCCATCTTTGTTCCTCAATATCTCGTTCTCGTTCTCTATTTCTCACCACTTTTCCTTCTTTGTGATCTCTAGTGAGCGGGTCGATTGTTGGCGAAGGGGTCCATATCAATTTCTTTTTTCTAATGTTTTTTCTCCAGTAAAGGAGTCCATCCCCATTCTAAAGTGAAAACACATAGGGGATAGTAGGGAACTGATTAAGAATGTGGAGGTTAGGTTTAGTTTAGTTTTTGTAATAACCTCAAAAGATAAAAAAAAAATTAAAAATTAAATTTACGAGTTTGTTTATATTTATATTTTTGATAACTTTTAGTTAAAAAAAAAAGATAAGAGAAATTTAAAAAAGAACAAAAAAAAAAGTCATTTTATGTATCTTAGACACCATTCATGCAAGTATTAGAAACCATATGGACCACATGCATAAAAAAAATTAACAATGGCTAAAGTTTTGACTTTTAATAAACCAAGGGAACCGTTTATATAATTTTGTCTATATATAATATATACATACATGTCGATGAGAATAGAAATGATGAACAAAAACCGCCCTTGATACTATAGCAATATAAATCAAGGAATGACACATTGCATTACAATCCTAAAATGTCATAAAAAGTAACGTCAAACTATGACCATGACCATAACATTTGGACCACTTGTCTTTTTTGTAAATATAATGTATCAAATCAATACAGATAATATTAGTTTGCTTATATTGTCATGATATGCAACAAGTCGACTAACTGGTCCAAAAATTTCATGAAAAAACATAAAGAAAATGGTTCCATTTCGTCAGTCTAATTTTTAGTCTGTACCAATGGTGAGTAGACCACATAAATGCTTCAAGGGGCCAAAGATCATAACAAACAACTGGTGACGGTTTGGTCCAATCATGGAACCGTAATTACTTTATTTAGGAATCAGATGACATTGAATGATCAATAAAAAAGCTAATATTTATAAGCTATAAATAAAATTCTCGTTGGAGGTGCTCTTAGTTGCCTGTAACTTAGAAGTTGTTGAATAATATTACGAGTTTATTCTCCTAACATGTTTAATTAGTGTATTGGGTTTTTTTTTATGCATTTCGTATACTATTATTTATATGGCAAATTTAGGTCAACCATGACCATAACATTGGACCGCTTATCTTTTCCATAAATATGATGTATGATTGATAAAATTGTTACCAAGACATTCTTTTAGTGTAATGATATGAATAGTAGGGAACATCTTTTAGTGTAATAATATGAATAGTAGGGCACAAATTAGTTGGGTGGTTTGGCTTTAAAATCCTAAGCTTGCTTGTTTGTGATGGTTTTGTTACCTTGTATTTATTACTTTGTAGTCTTTTTCAAGTCTAGTTTCTATCTAGCTTATAATATCTTTCCGTTTCGAAAAAAAAAAACGAAATATTTGGTTGAAAAACTCGTAAAATAAGGAGAAAACATTTTCATAGCTTTTCTAAAATAAAAAAGTTTTAAAATAAATTCAAATAATGGATGCTCCAAGATAAACAAATATTATAGTTACCCAAAATTAATATAACTTTAGCCGGTTTGTTTCAATTGTGTTTGGCAAAACCAGGGTCGATCCCAACGTATCTAAGGCCCGAGGCAAAAAAAAAGGCCCCTTAGATCACCAGTTAATCAAAGCTTACATTATTGCTTTCATATATACTTACACATTATATTATGGAAATCTTATTAAAATATTTCATCTACTAACTTTTTAACTATTAAAAACTTCCTAATATTTTCAAAGTTTTAAATTTAAATGTTTTTTACCAATAAACCAACGTTAATTGATTTAAAATCAATGATTGAGTTGTTGATTAACACACGCACTCGCATGCGTGCGCGCGCGCACACACACACACACCAAGAATAAAAGCAACCATGTTTAAAGTCTTCACCACGAATAACAATATAGTTTGGATGCAACACCAAAAATAGCAGCCAAGTATTGGTTATCCATCAAAAGAAGCTACCAAAACCTTTAAAAGTTTAAGCATCTTTCGGTGACAGGGGCTTCACTTGTGGGGGTATTTTCGTCCAAAATAACCATTTTGATTTTTGAAGATCAAGGTTTGTGAACCGGACATGCTTTTTCACTTGTGCACAAACAAATATAAAATTGAATTTACTTACATATTTTATTAAGTATTATTTGTCATCTAAGACTAATTGAGTAAAATTATATATACAACTAAAATCTTTTAAACTAAAAGTATTCCATGAAAAAAAAACAATGTAAACATGATATGAACACGATCCATCACAATATCAGTTTAGTTTCTGATTCATAAAAAAACTTGAATATCTTCATCCTGAGATCCATCTCTCACAGACTTTTTTTAGACTAAAAACAAACCTGGTGCCACTGTAGGCTGTAAAATCTTCAGAGTTCGGAGAAATAAGATTTGAAGGTTATACCCTTGCAGTCATGCCTCTGTGTGAAATCAGATTCGAGAGACGAATCTAATTTCTTGTTTGTATACTATCAATTTCTGAAGAAGGGGGAAGGGCGCTTGATCGATGGAGTATAAATGCTTAGACGATGGAGAATATGATTATTTGCTAAAATAAGTTTGAATCATAATCAATTTTTTGAATGGAAAAAGCCCTAAAATCAAAAGTTCGTATTTGGGAACTAAGAAGCTTGTTTGATTTATTGGATGGTAAAAAAGTTTTCTTTGAAAGCTAAAGTCACTTTAGAAACCTATCACACAAATAAAAAAAATATATTTAAAAAACAAAGTTGTAAGATTCGAACCCGAATGGCTTCAAACAACTGAAGCGTCAAGCGTCAACCATCTCATCTGGAACAATATTTAGTTCTTGCAGATTATCTTTTATATTATAAAAAATTATATATATAAATATACAAACGAAACATTTTGTCAAACACTAGAAGTTAGAAGTTAGAAGCTCCCAAACGCTCCGTGTCAAACACTCTCATGCGACCACCAAAATTAATTTAGTTTCTAATATATCGCCTACTATTCTATTGCTTTTTCCCTCCGGTTGTTTTTTTTTTCCGTTTCTAATGTATCGCCTGCTATTCCACAAAAAAAAAAAAAAAAAAAAAAAAAAAAAAAAACCCTAATTCAGGTCATTAACTAAATTTACTTGAGGATCGTCTTTTGTAGGGAACATCAATTTTATAACCGTTTAATAAGTGAGAAATTAAAAGATTCAGATTGGTTATCTGCTTTGCTCAAATATATACCTTGATTGTTCTTTTGAACCTTATTCTAACTCGACAAGTATATCGTAATCAAATATAGTGACAACAATACAGATGATTAGTTGTCCGCGTTCGTACGCGGGTGTTGGTGTGTCGACATGGCCAAAACATGGAAGATTCCATCCAAATGTAGTTACAACGATACATAATCAATGCATGCCTCTCTACTTGGTTTCCATACACTTTAAGTTCAACCTCCATTCACTTAATTCTCACCGGATCTCAAACATCTGCACCATCAATGGCTCCTGAGAAGGTACATCATTCCTATTAATTCTCTTTCTAATTCTTTCCTTTCACTCATCTCCACACATTTTACCATAGGGTTTATGCATGCATGATGCATATAATTCCATCTCCCATTTTCATCATGGTTTATTCACTTGTATTCATTAATATTATAAGGTAACCATAATGGTGCTAGATGTTGACCTCAAGTGCTCCCACTGCTACAAGAAGGTTAAGAAAATCATCAGGAAAATCCCTGGTCAGTCACTTATTCTTTTCTCAATCCACAAACGCATTTGCTTATATACAATGAATCGATGAAGCTGAATTCGTCATGTTGTGCTTATGGAAACAAACAGAAATAAGAGATCAAGAATACGAGGTGTACAATAACAAGGTGAAGATCATCGTCGTTTGCGTTAGCCCTGAGAAGATCCGGGATAAACTCTGTTACAAGGGTGGAAACTCGATTCAGAAGATAGAAGTAATTGCTGAAAAGCTGAAGGACCAGAAGCCTGCCGATAAACCCAAAGAAAAAGGAGATCACGCGCCGCCGGTAGTCAAGAAACCTGATTCAAAACCGGAGATGGCAAGAATGGCGGGTGGGTATCCACCACCAAATTACCATGTGGTCGGATATGGATGCGAGTGTCATGGTGGAGGCTACGTGGTACCACCACAGCCACCTGGATACGGGTATGGGTACGGGTCTGGATATGGACATGTACGTGGATATGATCATGGGTATAACGGAAATGCAAGTCGTGATCATTATTATAGTGAAGAAAATGCACAAGGATGCTCCGTAATGTAAAGCGGCGACGTGGAGGTTATTAGTAGGTCATGGGTGATGAAATAAATGTGTAATTAACTTATTATTATGGAGTAAATTACGCGAATGGTCCCTGTGGTTTAGTATAAATTACATGTTTGGTCCCTAACTTATTTTTCTAACTCGAAATGTCCTCAAGTTTTAATTGTGTAACGCGCTTAGTCCCTATTATAACAATCCGTCAATTGTTTCCGTTAGACACCCACGTGCCTTGCACGTTGGGGGTATAATAGTCATTTACCATTGCTAACGATCTTTAAATAGTCGCTTTTTCATCAGATCGACCCTAATTTTGAGTTTCTTTCAATTTCTCCATCGATGAATCGGTTACACCTTCTCTCCTTCAAATCAGGGATGGTTAAATGCGATTGTGGGCGTGCTGTTGTAATTCGGACTTCAACTACTAACAATAATCCAGGAAGACCCTATTACGCATGTCTAAGTAAGGTATGTTGTAGTTGAGAATTTTGTAATCGTAACCCTAGATGGAGATATCACTGTATGCGATTGTGGGTATTGTAATCGTGACTTTTGAAATTGACAAGGACCACGTAAAGGATTCATTGCTTGGGTAGATGATGATGAAAAGGATCATGGTGACGGATTGACAATCTCCTGGCTTGTGAGGTTGAACAAGAAGCTGAAAAATGAAAATCTATTCTTGAAGATATGTTTATTTGTTAGTTGGGTATTGTTCTTGCTAATACTTGTTTACAAGTTGTAAGGTGGAGATGAGTTGTTATTGTAATGGTAAAGTCTTCTGTAATGGTTAGGTTGTAGTAGTGAATGTAATGGTATCTTCTTCTGTAATGTTTAAGTTGTCTAAGTATTGTAATGCAAATGGTTAAGTTCTTTAAGAGCAATGGTGCATCATAAGAAGAAAACATTCTATTAACTAGTACCAAACTATTACAGGGCAATGAGGATTGGTTGTTACAAACTAGTTCATTCAAAAGTGACAACATATTGGCCAAAACAAATAGCAAAATACTAGCCCTATTACAAACTATTCATAAATAATGTACCAAAATATTAGCCTTATTACAAATAGCAACATAAGACAATCAATTTATATTGAAAGTAACAAAATACTAGCCCTATTACAAACCATCAAGTTGTTGCCTTCCCTTTCCCTTTCCCTTTCCCTTTGACTTTTGACTGTCCACCACCCCCACCAACAATTGGTCTTTGACCTTTGCAGGTTCTTGCATTGTGACCAACATTGTTACACTTCTTACATGTTACTGATCTATGGGCTCTAGATGCTGTGTTTCCTCTAACAAAGTGGTCCTTTTCCACAGTTGATATTGTTCTCTTCTTCTTTGGTCTTCCTATGGGAACACGATGTTTTGGAGGCAACAAAGTTGTTGGTATAACTGACTTCTCCCACATGGACCTTCCATTGATTGGACTAACTTCAAAAGAATACATCTCTTTCCAGCTTGATAACCAGTAACATGGATGCACAAATGATTCTGGGATACCCACATCCTTATTATTCCTCCCCATGTCCCAAATAGCAGCCACACCATGTTTACACAGTATTCCTGTTAATTCCCACCTTTTGCATGTGCAACTTTGTACACCTACATCCACAATACACTGATCTTGCCAAGGTCCAGCAACTTGATATTTTCCATCACCACAAAATGTTGCAATATACTGTTCTGCCTTACTCTTTATCTTATCCAATATT